GGACGCTTCTCCCCAGCTGTGGCAGCTCCGGCTGAGCGGGGCTGGGCAGGGCAGGGCTGGGCTGGGCCAGGGGAGGGGCACCTTTCCCCACCTGTGCGGCCCTTGGTAGCCTGCTGTGTGGCCACGCAGCTTAGACAGAACTTAGGAAAGGACCTTCCCTTTTATCTCATGACAGCTTACTTTGCTTAAGAGCCTTTGGTGAGGGACCTTGTCAAAGGCTTTCTGAAAATCTAAATACACTATATCCACTGGATCCCCCTTGTCCACATGCTTGTTGATCCCCTCAAAGAATTCAAATAGATTGGTGAGGCATGATTTCCCTTTACAAAAACCATGTTGACTCTTCCCCCAACAAGTTATGTTCATCTATGTGTCTGACAATTTTGTTCTTTACTATATATTTCTGCGGTGATAATCTTTCTATTTATGTAATGGATGCCTCTTCCAATACACCTTAAGTAAAACCATTGTCATATAGTGCAGCATGACCTGCAGCTAGCTTAATGGCACACACCCAGCTGTTCATCTCTGAGGCAGGGGGTTGATTTTTGCATTATTTTTTATCTAGGAAAAAGAGTACAAGGCCCACATCCTCAGCAGGTTTAAATCAGCACTTTCACTAACTAACACCAGCGGAAGATCTAATCTTAAAAATAAGCATTTCTATCACGGCTCATGAAGTTTTGTGACGATTTCAAATCTCCAATCTACCTGTCTATTTATCTGTCAATCAGACTTATATGCCGCACAACATTTCCATAGGATCCGAATGCCTGAAAGTCTTTAATGTATTTGTATTGTATGTGGGAATAATTGGCCAGTATCATAGCTCTCATAATACAAAATTTGTTCTGAAAATTAGATACAATCAAGCTGTGTTTTAAAAAAGTGCAAATATACAAGTCTGGGCTATATGTAGTAACTTGGGCTATTTTATAGGATCTAAACAGAGACAATTCATTCAAATAAAGATTTAGGCATACATTGCTAAGGATAAGGGATCACAGTCTGACCCTCTAACTCATGTTGAGTAGGTGGCAGAATCTGGCCTTTTATAAATGAAAATGTTAGGTATTGTTATTGTTGTTTTTCTTCTCGGAGCATGCATAAATTCCCATGAATGTTCTGGCTAGAATCAAAATGTTGGTTCCCGTTATAGTCATTCGCTGTAGTGCTCTGAGTGCTGGTCTTCCTGCCTTCTCAATAATGGTTGCCATCGGTTCAAAATTCTACGGCTTGCTTCATTTTTTCCTCCTGTCCCCACTACTCTCATTTTGTTTCTTCCTTCAACTGAGAGCATGGCTATTTCTGCTGCTGAGAATTAGGATGGAACTCTTTTAACATTCAGGATTTTATGGACCAGCTCTTCAGTAGCGTACAGTAGAGCCCCATTGACTTTATGCCAAATTAAACCAGCTGGGGATCTGGCCCAATGAATATGTAAATAGTGCTGCCCTCTTCCAGCGGATAGGTTCAAGTCTATTTTGCCATGTCACCCTCTAGTGGCTACATTCAACATTGCACACAAGCCCTAAAACTATTACACAAGCATGAATGTTGCTCTGGTTATCACTAGCAATTTAATATTGACAAGTCTCCCAAACTCCACTGTGCAAAATAAATGCTAAGTGGAAGAGAGGGTCTCCCAGCACTTTTTAATGGAAGCAAATCACTTCCATTTACCTTCTTTTCTCTTCCTTTAGCCCAGCATTTCCAGAATGGAAAATAATGAACGTGTCTTAAGGAGGAAATTAGAAATGGTCTGTGGTGTTCCCCTATTCTGGAGTATTGTTGAAGAATGGGCCCAGGTGGAATCATTCCAGGCGAGGCCAGATGACCTTCTCATTTCCACCTACCCGAAATCAGGTGAGTGCCACTGATCTATTAGGAGATTCGTCTTATGCAGCTAAAAGGCACAAACCCAGGGCAGAAATGGAGGCTATTGCCCAACTCTTATGCCACATGTATGCCACATTCAGACCATAACCCCTTTATCAATTCCTCCATTAAGTATAGAAATCTCTTACTCAAAGCCTCCTCCATCTGTGTCTTCGTGATCCCTTTTTATTGAAGAACCCTATTCAAAACACTGCAGTCTACATGGGTTTTACTTGACCTTGTCATGTAGGGAAGAAGCTAAGAAGCCTTCCAGGCCAAAACTATAATGGGATTCAAAAAAGAACGAGATAAGTTCATGGAGGATGGGTCCATCAATGGTTATTAGCCAAGATGGTCAGGGATGCAACCCCATGCTCTGGGTCCCTGTGAGTAGAACTGGGCCTTGCTCTCCTGCATCAGAGCACGTGAGCCCAATCCAGCCAATTAAAGGGGGCTGGGCTACACCTGGGCCTATAAAGGGCTGCCAGAGAGCAGGAAATAAGAGGTGAAAGAAGTGGGTGGGATAGGTTGTGCCTGGGGAAGGGAAGCCATGGTGGAGTAGAGCTAACTCCTGCAGTGGGTCCCTGGAGCAAGGTGCTGAGGAAAGCAGCACTGAGCCTACTGCTCCAGGAAGGGAACAGAGCTGATTAGACCTCAGTGAGGAACTACCAGGAGGAGGAGTGCCAGACTGTTTTCTGTTGCTCTTCTTGCCTGTGTTATTCAAATAAACCTTCTCAAAGGTGACTTGGCAGGGCAGGGAGTGTTTGGAAGCTGGGGAGAAGCCATGCCCTGTGACAATGCTGTGCATAGAAAGAGAATAAGACCACAACAGGGGTGTTTGTCCTAACAGGGATGTGTTCAAAAAGTGGCAAAATATTCCTTCCATGTTGCTCTCTTACCATCATTTAGCCATAGGCTGTCCTGTTGCTGAATGCTATAGACTTTGCGGACTGACACTGGAGTGCCCTCACTCAGTGTTCAGGAAGGGAAATTGTCAACTTGATACTGACCAACATGAGCCGGAGGTGAGTTCTTCTTTCACAGGATGGATGAAGTGGCTTTTTGCTCTCAACATAGGCTCAGCGCTGAAGGGTGGCAGGATTCTATTAATTCACACCTCCATTTGTGAGTAGTTTATTTCCCACAAGCCTAGTGGGAAATTTGCATTGGGTCTTCAGGCAGTAGCAGAAACATTGTGATGTTATATCAAGTTTGGTGATATTGGACTTCCATGATGATAGGCCCTTTGAGTCACTTTGTTACTGACATCACATATTCAAGCACAGGCCAAGAAAGCCCAGGAGCACTGATTTCACCACCCCCAAAGACTATTGCTAAAGGCCATAGGCTAGAAGGGATTGTCATCTGGTGTAAATTGGCATAACTCCATTGTCTTCAATTTACACCAGGTGAGGATCTGACTCCATGCTTATGACCTGCCTACTGCGTGCTAGAAGAGTATTTAGCGAGTTTGCTTTATATTTCCAGGCACAACCTGGATCAGTGAAATTGTGGACATGATCTATAACAACGGTGATGCAGAGAAGTGTAAACGGGATGCGATTTACCTTCGGGTCCCTTTCATGGAGCTGATCGTCCCTGGAATTTCAAATGGTAAAGCTTCACACACTGCAGGCAGGCTCCCGGAGAGATTGGAGCTGCGGCTTTGACAACTCTCCCTTTAGGAATTGTGTTGCCCAAAACTGAATTTGAGGATATATACTTACCTCCCTGGGCTGTTGGGAGGGTTGGTTAACTGGTGCCAAATTCTGTCCTCAGATATATACAAGCAAATCTCCCTGACTGTGTTGGGAGATGCATGTATAGATCTGAGGATAGAATTTAGCCTCTACTGTTTCTAAAGCACTCTGACTTCTTTGGAATAAAAGGCACTCTGCGTCTGATCCGTAGTGCTCTGAAGTCAATGGAAAGATCCCCACTGGATCTGGCCATATATAAGTGCAAACTGTCAATGGTATTAGGATCCTGTGCACAAGGAACTTCAATATGAACTGAAATGTTTTAAAAATAACTTCATACAAAAATGGATTAAAGTGGGATTTTCAAAAGAGTTTATAGGAATTAGGTGCCGAATTCCCAGTAATGGTCAACAGAGGTTGAGCACCTAACTCGCATATTTTCTTTTGAAAATCCCACCCTAAAGGTGAGATTTTCACTGTTCGCAAGGGGAGTTGTTAGATGCTGAGCTCTTTTGAAATCTGGCCCTAAAAGGGGTATCGAATATTATATGTTCACATCCTGACATTTTTAATATGTGCTACTATGTTTTTACAGAGCTATATTCACACCTCATTAAAAGACGGGGGTGGGGGAGAGAAGATTTCTCATACAGCTTCACATAAGTACATTTCACTAGAATCAGAAAAGTTAGAGATGGACAAGGCTGATTAGATGATCTAGTCTGACTTCCTGAAAACTACCCCCTGTGGAAACTCTGCCAGATGTGCACACAACATGCCTACCCAGCAGTGAGGGAGATTTCACCAACTCCACTTTCAGAACCAATATATGGTTCTTTAGTTGCTTAAATCTACTTCTATCCTTATCCACATCTATCTGGACTTCATCCAGTAGAGAGAGACAGAATGGCAGCTCAGGATTATTAAAGGCTGCGGGCCCAATTCCTCTCTTCGTAACAGTGGCCCTCTAAGTATAAATAGTTTACGATCAAAGCTGTAATAATCCTGTTTTTTCATTTAATCCCTTTTGTATTTTTTAGGTGTTGCACAGCTGGCTAAAATGCCCTCTCCCCGGTTAGTAAAGACCCATCTTCCTGTTCAACTCCTTCCTGACTCCTTCTGGGAAAACAACTGCAAGGTTATTATTATTTCTTTGCATTGCAGTAGCACAGGCTCCAACCAAGATGGACATCCCATTGCGCTACACTCTGTGAATACACATAGCAAGAGAAAATTCCTGCCCCGCAGAGTTAGAGCTAACTGAAATGTTTAGAATTGAAAATATGTCAGATTTCAATGAAAATATGGGTGGGGGGAAATCTGAAAATATTTTTGCAAATTTATTTTCTTGTTTTTCAATCAGCTTTGCTACTCTAACATAGACTCGATTGATCATGGTAAACATCCTTCTCTTCTCCACAGATCATCTACGTTGCCCGAAATGCCAAGGATGTGGCAGTCTCTTATTACCATTTCTACCAAATGGCAAAGATGCATCCAGAGCCTGGCACCTGGGATGAATTCCTGGAGAAGTTTGTAACTGGGGAAGGTAAAACCTGAAGCTAGATTCTCCCTACGACACTGAGCTCACAGGCTGTGACAGTGCTAAACCAAGAACTATGGAGCAGATTATCAGCTGCTCTAAAGATACTTTATTATACCACATGAGAATCTCTTCCCATGAGTGTATCCAAATTTCAGTTAGACAGAAGCCCCTACAGGGCAAGATAAAAGAACATGAACACATCTCCCATCAACCTCCACTTCTTGGTTTCTGGTCCAGAAACAAGAACCGGATCCACCTAGAACATCCCTAAGGGTATGTCTACACTACGAAATTAGGTCGATTTTTAGAAATCCATTTTATACAGTCGATTGCGTATGTCCACACTAAGCGCATTAATTCGGCGGAGTGCGTCCTCATTACCGGGGCTTGCATTGACGTATGGAGCGGTGCACTGTGGGTACCTATCCCACAGTTCCCGCAGTCTCCGCCACCCATTGGAATTCTGGGTTAAGTTCCCAATGCCTGATGGGGCAAAAAGATTGTCGCGGGTGGTTTTGGGTACATGTCGTCAGTCGCCCCTCCCTCCGTAAAAGCAACGACAGACAATCGTTTCGCGCCAGACACCAGGGTGATTAGAAGAGCACAGATAGGCGTGCTGCGCATCAGAGAGGCTTTGAAAACCAGTTTCATGACTGGCCAGGCTTCAGTGTGACAGTTGTGTGTGTTTCTCCTTGATGCAAACCCATCCCCTTTGTTGATTTTAATTCCCTGTAAGCCAACCACCCTCCCCACTTCGAAATAAAGTAACTATTGTTTTGAAGCCATGCGTTCTTTCTTTATTAATTAAAAAAAAAATGAGATAATGGACAAGGTAGCCTGGGTTGGGTGGGGGAGGAGGAAAGTCCAAGGTCATATTGCTTATTGTAGCCACACTAAAAAACAAACTGTTTGAATGACAGCCTTCTATTGCTTGGGCCATCCTCTGCAGTGGAGTAGCTGGGTGCCCAGAGCCTTCCCCCCCTGCGTTCTTGGGTGTCTGGGTGAAGAAGCTGTGGAACATGGGGAGGAGGGTAGGCGGTTATAGAGTGGATGCAGCGGGGGTCTGTGCTCTTGTTGGCTTTCCTGCAGCTTCAACAGACGCTTCATCATGTCCGTTTGCTCCCCCCACAGACGCTTCATCATGTCCATTTGCTCCCCCATTAGCCTGAGCATCACGTCCTGCCTCCGCTCTTCGTGCTCACTTAATTCTTTCCTGGCCTCTGCCACTGAATGCCTCCATGCATTAAGCTGTGCCCTATCAGTGCAGGAGGACTGCATGAGCTCGGAAAACATGTCATCACGAGTGCGTTTTATTCACCTTCTAATCTGCAATAACCTCAGGGACGGAGATGATAGGGGGAGCGTAGAAATATTCTACGCTCAATGTTTCTGGGGGGACTGCATCGTCATCTGTGCTGCTGAGCTCGCCATGCTGACCAAACAGGAAATGAAATTCAAAAGTTCCCAGGGCTTTTCCTGTGTACCTGGCTAGTGCATTGGAGTTCAAAATGCTGTCCAGAGCGGTCACAATGGAGCACTCTGCGATAGCTCCCGGAGGCCAATACCATCGATTTGCGTCTGCACTACCCCAAATTTGACCCAGCAAAGTCGATTTTAGTGCTATTCCCCTTGCCGGGGAGGAGTACAGAAGTCGATTTTAAGAGCCCTTTAGGTCAACAAAACGGAGTTGATTGTGTGGACGCATTCATTTTTAAATCGACCTAATGCGACTAAATTCGACCTAACCCCATAGTGTAGACCAGGCCTTAGATGCTCAGGCAGTCTGCTTGCCTAGCTAAAGTCTCAAGTTATCCGTTCCTGGAGGGGGGATGGGAATTAGTTGTGTTAAAAGGGGTGTCTCAAGACATCCAGCACCCCCTTATTTCCCTATCAACCCATTATCCTGGTATGATTGTGCCATTATGGGGTTTTTGGGAGTCACCCAAAATATTCACTATTTAATCTGACTTCTTTGCTGATATCACAGTGAATCCATATTAAATGTGAATGTTTCCCTTCTCTTATACTCCTCTCTCTTTGATTTAGTTGTGTTTGGACCTTGGTATGATCATGTGAAAGGCTGGTGGGAGAAGAGAAAGGACAAGCCGATTCTGTACCTGTTCTATGAGGACATGAAAGAGGTGCGGGAGGGAAAGAATATAAACTCATGTAATGTTTTGGCCCCACATGCGTTGTTTGTTTGCATGAGTATAACAAGTAGGAAGCAGCTATGCCTATCAACAATACTTATTCAGAGAGCAAAAGAATCAGGCAGAGGGATCAGGCTTCACAGGTAATATGCTCAACTTCTGAAAAGAACTACATCACAGCTGACAATAGGCATGTCTCCAAGATCCAACTCCTATACATTCAAATAAACAGAACTAGCCAATATAATTTGCAATACTGCTATCTGGTGATTCCCAATAATATTACACACACACAGATTTGGAAGATTAGGAATCTCCCTTTAAAAGGAAATGCCAAACCCCTCCATTCTCACTGTCCCCAATCCCCACCACCCGGGTTGAAAAAGTGACGTTGTACCAGCACCTTTTAGTAGTTTCCAGATGTG